TACTCCAGGCAGTCAGCCAAAGAGAACAAAGTCTCCACTCACTGCCAACACCCCGCCGGTGAATAACAGTCCACTTCCTCACTGCCAGATAGAAATGTATTTCTGCAGCATTACCTCTGACAGCATCTGATCATTTGCTACCACTGATGGGTCTATTTTCCACCTGCCTTGCACTCGACTGTCTACTGAAGCCTTAAAACTTGAAGGAAGTCATTACAGACTGACAATACAGAGAGCTGGAAGACATTTGGAAAGAGACACATGGGTTGTTTCAAAGATTATGAAATTAGAAAGTGACCGTACAGATTATTAGCCTTGTCTTGTATCTCATCTGTATCAGATTGTAAAAGGGTAATGGAATTAGTACATTAAAACCATTTTGAAACCAACGTTAATGCCATTTATAAATAACAATAAAAATCAATAATGCCACCGCAGGCCAGAAAATTAGTTGATGGTCTTTACAATTAACAATGAGACCACGGATAAACCTGTTAATTTTGCAAAAGCAAATGACTACTATTTTAAACTAATAATCAAATTAATAATGAACAAATATGAACTGATTATTATCAATAATGCATGCACATACCTTATAAATGTAGTGTTTGAGTTTCTTGAGTCTGACAGAAAGTTAAAGATATTGACCCAAAGTCTTGGAGTCGAAGATAATAGAATCATTTCATCACCTACTTGAAAGTAGGCTGCCTGTAAATAACAGCGCCCTTCTCCTTGTACCATTTATTTTGGGGCATTCGGTTCCCAAAATACCCTATTAAATATTTTATGAGTTCCAGGGTGATGTCTCTGTCTGGAGCGTTAACTCGCTGATTTCCCACAACAACCATGGAGTCTTTAACCTTACAAGTCTCCAGCAGTGGCCTACTTTCTTCCAGTAGCTGACAAAAAAAGCTGTGACTTTGACAACAGTACAAGCACAACAGACACTCCGTCAACACAAAGTCTGATAAAGATTAAAGAGACAAACAAGTACAAACATCAGCACCCAGATTTAAATGGAGTTTGGCATCCTGAAAATAGAAAAGTCACACCTGATATTCACAAAAACAATGTCCTCATTTATTAATGTATTCCCTTTTTGGACCATGTATAGAAGGAAATGTTAGATAACAGAGATGCAAAACAGTTTGGCCGAAGCATGTACATCTTCATAACTATTGGGGCGTCTTTCCTATTGTGCTTTTTTGAGTTTCCCTTTCCTGAAGGGTGTTACATTGTTTCTTGTGAATCTAAATGCTCCGCAAAGGCTAAAATCCCAAAGTACACACTCTACCACAAACCCCCCCCCCCCCCTGCCTGAAACTCCTGAATTGGACTCCTTTGTTTACTTCTATTTAACAATCGCGCTTCTATAGGCTAGCGCTTCAACACATTGTATGTGTAAGGTCCTTACACACCAAGCCGATTTTCGGCGTCGACAGATGTCGATAGATGTCTGGCCGTTGATGAGCGTCCCGTCACCCTACTCAGATTGGTGTGTCCCGCCCCGTTGTGTCTTTTCGGCCGTGTCGACACCTTCCGACGCCGATTTAACATGTTGAATTGGGAGGCTGTCGGTAAAAGGCCGTCGGCAAAATAAATCACTCTGATTGGCTGTTCAGCTTAGCGATTGGTGCATGAGAAGACACACCAATCTGTGTGTTCAATCCGTCCGTCGGGACGTGTTCTCTGTTGTCAGATTGGGGTGTAAGGACCACACCAATCTGACACCAGAGAACACGTCCCGACGGACCTGACTGTTGTGTCGCCTCACGTCTCCTGCGTCTTGGCCAACAGTCGCACTGGAACACACCGCAAAGACTTCAGCCGATGGCCAAGTAGCACGTACGAACTGTGCATGCGTGAGTAGCAATAACTCTCCTTACCAGCAGGCGGTGGTACTGTGTATTCGTCATTCAAAAGAGGCAACAACCGGAAGACAGACTGCGTGATACACAGAGAGAAGAAGAACAGACTGCGTGATATAAACAAACAACAAAAAGCATGTGCGTTCCATTTTCACTCTACAGCGAGAAGCTCATGGGGCTTTCCCAAACCTGTGTCGAGAGCTGGAGTTAACTGAAATCTCAGATGTGCCTTCTTAATCGTTTGTTTGGGTCCCTCACTTCCGTTTCGCTTCTCATGCACCGATCGCTAAGCTGAACAGCCAACCAGAGTGATTTATTTTGCAGACAGCCTTTTACCGACAGCCTCCCAATTCAACATGTTGAATCGGCGGCGGAAGGTGTCGGCACGGCCGAAAAGACATGACGGGGCGGGACACACCAATCTGAGTAGGGTGACAGGACGCTCATCGACGGCCACACATCTATCGACATCTATCGATCAATCAGAGCAGACTGGGCTCTGGTTTCATACAGAGGGTGAAAAGAGGTGCAAATAAGGCACTCTTTAAACATTAAAGCATATAGACATGTCACAGTAGAGGCACAACATATAAATATGAACCTGAAAATGCCCATAATAGAGTGGTGCAGGGATCTTATCTGTAGATTTATGATTCGAAAATATAAAAGTGGACATGTGGAGATTATCCGGCTGAACAAAACGTGCATTTATCATTTTCCACAGATCTTATTTTTTGCAATATTCCAAAAATCCTATGGAGAAATCCTGTTGCTTTTTTGTCGAGGGAACCCATGCGCAGCTTACTTCTGCGTCGGCCTACACAAATACGTCATCCCTGCACCACTCTATAGGGCCCCTTTAAGGCATACCCTGACCTTGACTGGAGTATTAGATTATCACAAAGATCAAGTGACAAATCAAATAGCTATAGCCTACTTCAGAACCATGCATAAAAGAAGAATTTCCCTGATTCATTGAGCTAATTTAATAAGCTCAATGTGCAATGCCTTGGTACTTACTGCTGTAACAAAAATATTTGCCCAATTTAGGATTGATAAAGTCCATTCACGTATAAATCCATGCATCCAAAGATTAAACAAATCTATATATATGTTTTGGAAACGAACATAGGATTTACTAAAACGCAGTATTTATAGTGCATCATCCTAGTTCAGTAAATTACAAGTGAAGTACATTCACTCACGCTCTATGGGAGCAGATCTAATTCGAATGGCAAGCTTAAACAAGATCACATTGAATGACAGCCTGTGTGCATGGCCCACTTATGGTGAATTGTATGAAACTGAAACAGGTCAACAAGCCCAGAAAGGAAGCTGGCAAACTAATGCAGAGATGTCCTTTTATTTTTGGAGATTTGTGTTACTTTTGTAAGAAAAGCATTTAGCATCAACCATTACAAAATATGTAGTGAGGGTGTATTAAGATAAAACCATTACTGACGTGCTGCGCTGTCCTTCTCAATAGTTTTTAATATGGCTTTAAATAAACTGGAGGACACAGGATATTTTTACAAAGACAGTCTTAACTTAAGAAGAACCCAGTGATACCTTAAATGACCTTGGACTGGGATATTACTCATTACACCCCCTGCTTGTTGAGGTGTGGCTGTCCTCTGCATCATTTCATGAGACAGCATCGATAATTTGAGACTTTCCAAATTAATTAGCACAGTATCAAAGTTTCTTGCTGACCAGTGGGGAATAAGAGCCTAATTAACCTATTTTCTGTAATAATTATCTGTTTTTTATCTGGCGGACTGGCCATCTGTGTGTTCTGGAGAATCACAGAACGGCCGGTCGTCAGCGGGCCGTTGACGGCCGGCTCGGTACGCTGACGGCCGGCACCGCCCTTAATTTTTTTAAACGGCATCATGTAAGTTGCGGCGACAGAGGTCCAGTTTCCCCGCAGCGAGGCTCCCCCCGCCCTCACGTAGACAGTTCACGAGCTCAGTCACTTCATAACACCAAAGATGGGTCGCGGTAAACGCTCTAGAGTGAGGCTCCACTACACTAAAAAAGAAAAAGACAAGGCACAGTGTAATGCCTGTTAATAGCTTGCCACAGGCATAGCTCAGTTATTGTGCAATGCATTGTATTGCATGTATATTTTGTATGTCAGTTAAAGCTTAAAAGAATAAAGATATTTTTGTTATCTAAACATTTGACCTCTTTCTTTTACAATTTTGGAATCGAAACGGGGAATCGATAAGAACCGGAATCGATAAGCAGAACCGGAATCGGAATCGATACATTTCAAACAATACCCATCCCTAAGCTAAACGCATGAGGTGTTCGGCCATAAACATGTCCATATTTATACTAAGATGTATTAATATAAGCCACAGCACATGTGGCAGTCTTCAAACAGTCGCCTGTGAATTAGTACGTTCCAGTCTTGTCCTCCAGAGAAGACACTCTGAACATCTGTTTGCTGTGTCATGCCAGCAGGCAGGGGGCCAGTCTCTCTGCTGTGCACCCCTAAATTACCAGATATCTACTGTAGGATTAGTACAGTTTCACAAAGAGCAGTCATGACTCTCCAGCTGGGTCCCCAGAAAAGCCTTCTTAAAAGGAAAGTGACACTACCAAGAGAGAGACACAATTAATCATTTTTGTGTATTTTATCTGGTTATGTCTGTTTATTTACCCCTTTTAATTGTTGTTGTGGTTTGCCACTTTAATGTTGTTGCATCAATTGTTTGTATTATGTGTAGAACCCCCTAGAAAACAAGATCACCCATCTCAAGAAGTTTATTTTTAATAAATATATTTGGTGAAATTAATTCCACTTTGTTTATTATTATTTTGATTATATCTCATGTAGATGAACATCTTTCTTTCTACATTTATTATATTGAAATTACTGTACAATGAACAGTACAGTATACATTTTATTTTTCCCACCATGATTTTAATTGCAGCACCAGCCTTAGATAGCAGATGGAAAGAATTTTTGTAACCGTTATTAAGGGAATAAAAGTTAAAAAAACCAAAAGGAAAAAAACCAAAGAATTACCGCACTTCAAACAAAATTCCCATATGTTATCATTTAAGAAAAAACGAAATGAACCATGGACTTGGCTTTAACAACTTGTGTTTCCCCTCCTTTAGATAGAAACCAGATGAACAACGCGGCTCACACAGCGACGTTGCTAACGCAGCTGTACCCGGCCGTGGGTCCCCTCACTAGCCCGTACGAGCCGCAGCAGCCGGTACAGGACTTCAACACGTACGCCACGCTCAAGGCTGTGGGTAAGAAGTTGTTTACCATGAGCCATTATGTTAAAAGAAGCAGGTTGCCATTCATCATTTGATCTGATTAGTTAGCACATTACATCCTTCATGAATAAAACTAGCATAATTAATCAAGGTTATCCCGCATCATATAGGTGTCAAGGTTTAATTGAGTAAACTGGAATCAACATAATCTGTTATCTAAGAAATGAAGAACGCACTATAATTAACAATAGGGGGCAGAAATGTCATCTTTAACATCCTATTATTTCTATTATCTAATAGCTGTAGTTATTAGTGAGCTTCACTGCCTCCTTTCTCTCTTTTTAGTTAAGCTTTATAAAGATGTAAGAACATGTGGATATGGCCATGTTTCAGTCTTTTAAACGGGAGGAGACCAGTTGGTTTGAATCTCCATCAAATCTCTGGCTGACAGAAACCCTTCTCAGTTAATCCACAGTCAATCAATGCCAACAGAGATGGGAACTGAATGTGTATTTATAGAAGCAAGTTTGTGCTTCTTCTCATGTGCTAATTTTGGAAAGTCTGCAGACACTGCCCAGACACACAGCTTTTGAATCAAGAAATAATACCAAGTACCAAAATAGTATCACTCCGCAACATGATGTTCAATACATTTCAAAAAGCCTGTTTGTAGTGTCAAAGTATGTGAAAGCAAATATACATTCCTGCTAATCATAACCATAAAACAGAATAAGGAAGCAATTGTTATGTACATTACAAGGTCATGTTTAGATGCAACAGCAACCAGGTTATGTTTTGAGTTTTTACTTTATAGGGGAGCAGGCATGATTCCAATATTTAGAGGTCCTTTTGTATAACTAAATCCTAAAGAATATATGATTATTGTTTAAGTTTTGACTTGCTAAGACTATAATTGAAAAACATGAACATGAAAATGTTTTAAGCAATTGATATTCAACCATATATCAAATTGTTTTCTGTGGCAAGAATAATCACAATGATATTAATGAAATATAGTCCTACATTTTATTGACATCTATTTTGTCACATTCGCGTGTGTGCTTGACTTAGAAAATATATATTTAAAAAAACATATCAAAGTGTTGCGTAAGGTATTTGTGAATTCTGTCTTTGAAGCTATTGAGCTCATTGAAACGTGAGTCTTTTCATAGATGCATCAAATAACTATGTATGACAGACGTCCGTGTGATAGGGATGACACCCACTGTATCAGCGTGTGTGTAGTAGGTCCAATCACATATAACCAATAACTTTAAAAAACTCACACTCTTAGTGATGCACCAGGTAGCTGAAGCTTCTCTGCTGCTAAACCACTGATAGCGCCGTCGAACAAACTGATCATTAGGGAAAATAAAAATAGAGCAAATCTTAGCTAATGAGACTGGGGACAGGAGACAATCAGGAGCAATCAAAACACAAATGAGTTGAGGAGTGGTGATGAGATGCAACTATACTGTACACCGTGAGCCTCTCCTAATATATGTGTTCTTCTATCAGCACTCATATGGGTTTTAGAAGAAGTAGCTGCTGTACAGGATGTGCTAGTCCTAAAAAAATCTCTTTCCTGTACCGTGATGTGAAACTCAGATGAAGAGTCAAGATTAAAAGTGACATTTCACTGCAAAAAAAGTCTGAAATGTTAGAACAGACTAATGCTGGAGCTTGGTGTGCTCATGCTCAATTAGTGCTCAAGTGAATATGGCCTCTCCGGATGCCCCAACTTATTGGTGGAGGTTGTTAAGGCTCTGTAGCCTATAATGAATACTTGCAGACAATAACAGGGCAACAAAAAACTCATAAAATCGATATTGTTCTTAACTGTTTATTATCTCTTCAAAAGATACTCAAAGAAAACATCAACCAAGCCAAAGAACACAGTTCCTTGTTCTAAAGACGAAAATAAAGTGTTATCTGTAACTTAACATGATGTGTTATTAGGGGTACTGCATCAACAACACAGCAGAGATAATGGAATTCTAATTGGAAAACACAACAACCAATGATCAGTATTTATTCTTCTTCTTCTACATTCTCTTGCACTATTTTATCTGTTTCATTTGTTTTATGTCCTATATATATTCATGTTGCCCTGTTGAGGAGCCTGTGACTTAAAGGTAGGGTAGGTAAGAATGGAGAAACCAGCTTGAGTGCGCTAGAACTCCCCTTCCTTCAGACTTCCTCACAGAGCCCCTCCTCCAACACACGAACGCGCACATGACCAATGAGGGGACGAGATAAGTTTGTGCACAGCTGGAAGGCTGACAGGCAGGTAGGCCATCCAGTTACTTTAATTGGTCGTGCTTTTTACAGCGCCACGGCTTCCACAGATGACATTTTTTAATGTATTTATTGTCAAAGCATTTAATATATTCATTGCTATCGGGATGTTAAGAGCATTCCATGGAATATAACAAAAAGTGTTTCTGAAGTGAATGACCTACCCCACCTTTAAGTTTTTCATTACTATATCTACACTGTAGCTACTGTGCACATGACAATAAAGGCTTGAATCTTGAATTTCTTGATTCATCAAGCTGTAATTACAGGTTATTAAAGGTTAATGCATATACTGGTGTATAAACTGTAGATTAATAAAGTCTGTATTTGTGAAGCTGACTGTTGAGCGGCCCGACCAAGCAAGGAGGCAGAGGCAGAACGTCCAAAATACAACCCGGTGTGGGCATCTATTACTCACAAACATATGACACAGCCTCAATCTGCTGTTCACGTGAGCACAGTCACCAGCCACCAGGATCTCACACACACTACCTCCCACACAGACAGGGAAACATAGCCTAAATACCCACACACTAATCAGCAATTAGACACAGGTGAGGGGGGAGGAGACAACACAGGGGACAAGGTGAACACAATCAGGAGCAACAGACAAGACGGGTTTGGGGAACACCCCCAAACCAAACCACATGCAATGTTACAAGGCCCGAAGCCGTCAGTCCACAGTGACGAAGTTACCTTCGTCACAGTATTCAAACTACATTGTATACATCACACTTTCCTCCAAACTTGTTAGTGTGCATCATTTGGATGATCAATGTGAGTTAGTTGTGTGATGCTTGATGATATGAGCTTTGCTCTCTTTGTTTTCAAGCAACACATTTCAACTTGAGGTCCATTTATTTACCTGCATGTCTATTCCGGCATTCAAGATTTAAAGGTCCCCTATTATTCTGTTTTTCATCAATATATTACAGTTCTCAGATACAAAACATGTCTCTGAAGTGTTTGGCTCAAAATACCAAACGGATCATTGTAGCATCCCATCTCTGTTTCAGCCCTGCTTCAAAAGTGCTGATTCTCTGTCTGTTGCTTTAGATGAAAATAAGGAGCCCCTCCCCACGGCCCTCTGAGAGACATTTGGTTAAAAAGAACACAATGGTGCTCTAGGAGGAGATTCAGGTGATAAGGTGTTTTTTTTTTTTTCGTTCAACAGGTTTTTATATAAATGGATCAGGACAAAAGTGAGAGAATCTTTTGTCCTGAAACTTTCAGAATCTCTTCACACTGAGGGGACACATGGTTATGTATAAAATATATGAATAGGTGGATTTTGCATAATAGGTGACCTTTAATGTAATGGCTAATGAAGGGGAAATGATAAAGAACTGCCATCAGGATTCAGGTCATGTGGGAGCCAATGGGAGCTGAGCTCTCATAAGGAGGGGTCTGAGCTCCTATGAAAGCAGTGAAATGATACATCTGTGGGGGTCGCTAATACATTACCAACAACCATTATTGTAATCACAAACAATGCATGTGTCAATGTAATGAGTATTATGTACATTAACGAGGTAAATAGGCTAAAAGAAAAACACGTTTTCCAAAAGAACTACGCATCGTATTCTCTCTTGAATGACAATATGCCTGCATTTCACCTCCAAGGTGCACAATCAATTATTGCACAATCTATGCCTGTGAGCGTGCTGCGCAAGCCGAGATGATGTGTGTGCGTAGTTGAACCTTTTCATATTTAAGTTTGTAGCTAGTAGAGGGCTGCTGCTGCTGGACGTGTGTGTGTGCTTGCGTACTCACGCGTTAGTTTGAAAGACCCCCATAAAGCTCAGATTATAACTCGAACCCTGACTACCATGATGTTTATCTGTGTTTGTTAGCAGAGAAAGCGAATGACAGCTTATACGGCAACCGGCGGCAAGTGATGGAGATGACAACCAAGGGCAGCCTTCCCATGGAAGCTGTGGATATGGAGCCAGAGCCGAGCAACCCATACAGCCCACCCAGACAGATGTCTTCAAAGCAGAATGGATACAAGTACAAAAGCTCCCGGAGCCACAGCTCCCAGTGGCTGGCCTACGGCTCCAGCCCTGCCACCAGCCAGGGGCTGCTGAGCTCCTGGGAGAACAGGGACATGCTGGGGCTGCGACAGAGCTACGGATCAAAGAAACTCTGCATCATAGAGAAGGAGCTGCACACAACTCGCTACATGCCTCCACAGCCATACTTTGTCACCAACAGCAAAACAGAAGTGACAGTATGAGGGAGTGTGTAAGCACCGGGCTGAACCTCAGTCTGTATTTAGGAGAAGCTGCTGACTGTGGGTGGGGTTGTTAGACAGCAGCAAGGACTGTAGTGTATGTGGTGGTGCATGTGATGGGCAGAATTAAAGACGGTTACTTAAGGTGAAGTGTACTGTCACAGGACGTGGTCTCAACCACTGTTCCTTATTGGGCTCAGTAATATGTAGTCATTGATTGTCAAATAATCCAACTGCTTAAACTAAACACAAAAGTTAATCATAAGATATGTCACAAATGCAGTACAGCCAGTATATACCAAGACATAGTATATCATTTCTATTAAATCAACATTGTTCAAGTGACAAAACCTTCATTATTTATCTAATTGAGGATAAGGGGCCTTTGGTTAATTCAGTATTGTTGAAATGCTTAACTGGACAATTTCTAGATACTGTTTGGGCGCTGCTACACTGCTAGGTGTTGGATCAAGGTGATGCATTTGAATCTTTTACCCAAAACAATTATTTATATTTTGTCAATGTATTTATTTTTGGGGAAAGGAACGATCTAGTGTTCAGTTTATCACACAAGTTAATAAGGAAGAACACAGTTACCGGGGAAACTTGTTTTAAAAAGCTCAAAGCGCTTTTTTAAACTTTTGTTAAATTGATTATCTGCTACAGATTATTAATACTTTGCTAGCACTGCAAGCCTTAGAACAAATGTGCATGGATTCATGATTTAGGACCACAAGGGAAAGTGACACAAATCAAACATAAAAAGATTATATTAAATGTGATTTGTACTATTATGTAAAAAATAGAGTCACATATGCACACAAAGAAAAATCTGATTTGTGCCACTTTTGACTACAGTTTAAGCGTAGAGAGCCTGTGCTTCTAATAATCCAAACCATTATTTGTTTTTTTATGGTATGTAAAGTCATAGTACTTAAAAACATGAGGGATGAGTTGGTGAGCCATGAGTATGAGTAACTGACCTGAGTTAATTTAAGAAAAGCCTTTGATACATACATTTTTGAAGTAAGTTATTCAGGTTGGTTTCTAAAATGTTGTGCAGCATCCATTTTGGAAAGATTCATAAGCTAACGTTATCATTCAGTATTTCCAAAATAAAAAAGAGTCTGTTAGAACAAAACTATTGACCTAAATGACTTAAAATCCATAAAAAAGTATTTTTTATTTTGTGAATGTAATTTCACTTTAAAGTTGTAGATGTCTCATTTTTAAGGTAACCTTCCATATGCAAACCTTGTCAGTGCCAATAGACATCGCATTGATACGTACATTTCCATGGTTGATAGAAGAAGTAGCATTAGTATTGAACCAGGTGTGTTTGGTGTAATAGTGCCTCTCATCAGTACCAGCATGTGTGTGGTTATGTTAGTTGAAGCCCCCGTATTAGAACTGAGATTAGTCTAAGTTATCTGTTTATCAGCTTGAATTAAAAAATATTTATAATTTATTTCCGTATGAAACATTTATTGAATGTATCCAAACTGGCTTGTTTGAGACAAGTGGTTGGAGGTGAACATTTCAAGTGTTGGAGGTGAATAGTTCATACAGTTGTCGGGATGGGTGTACAATTTTTGTGAAGCAAAAGTAAAAATGTTATTGGTCTGTTAATAGTCAAACTAATATGGCACTTGGAGATTCAATGTCAATGGTGCATTCATGCTCCTTGGGTAATCCCATTTTCAGAGTTGGGAAGTCGTTTTTTTTATTACTTTGGAGTGTTAATGAGTTTTGTTTTGGACTTTCTCAGTTTTGTTTCAACTTTCATGGGATTTTGTTTATGTTTTTTTAACAACAAGACATCTGAAAATCATCAGGGGTAGAGCTAGTTAACGTTAGCCATTTGCAGCCGGTAATTTTCTAAAATATATTAAAAACAAATGTAAAAATATTTTCAGACCTCACGTGAATGTTGTTTGATCTTTAATGACAATCAGGCTTGTAGTTATTTCCAAAAATGTTTCCTCCTTGAGGGAGCTACAGTATATTAAATAGCTCTACTAAAGATATAGCACCAATCATTTGAAAAAATAACATTGTTGACGTACTTGGCAAAGTGTTTTTTAATTAATTAAGGTCCCTGGTGCAATTGTCATATATTTCATGGATTTCACAGCCAAGCAGTATAAAAAGATGCTCGCCTGCCTGCAAGTCTTACTCATACGGTTTACTATTTCAAGCAGCCAAGGACAAGGCTGCATGCATCACTGATATACAAGTGGGAAGTGGGATCTGTTAGTACAGTATACAGCAAAAAGGTATTTATGTATCAACACGTCCAAACCATAGCGGTTTATATTCTCACAGACTTCCAACCAAACTGTATGCACTATATTTCAAAATGTGTAGATCTAGTGCACTGCACTGTCATTTCACATTGTTATTAAACTCAGTGTCTTACAGTTAAATGAAATCTGATAATCTTACTATTCAACTATTAATTCAACTGAGATTTGTACAAACACTGTTGTATAGCGACTAACATTGAATGATTTTGATTTGTGAATGCAAATTGTGTTATTTATATATTAAAGAAATCACTGTTATTAAAGGTGGGGTAGGTAAGTTTGAGAAACCGGCTCGAGATACACTTTTTGCTATATTCCATGGAATGCTCTTAACATCCCGATAGCAATGAATATCTTAAGTGCTTTGACAACAAATCCATTCAAAAACATCATCTGTGGAAGCTGTAATACTGTAAAAAGCACGACCAATCATTTGAGCCGGCCCGGCTAAAGTAACTGGATGGCCTACCTGCCTGTCAGCCTTACATCTGTGCACAAACTTATCTCGTGCCCTCATTGGTCATGTGCGCGTTCGTGTGTGTTGGAGGAGGGGCTCTGTAAGGAAGTGGCAGATTTTTTCCAGTTGTGTATTTTCAAATTCTAGCGCACTCGAGCTGGTTTCTCCAAAATTACTTACCCCACCTTTAAGTTATATCATATTTACACGTGAAGTAATACTGCCAATTAAAAGACATAATGTGTATAACATCTGTGTGCTTTGCAACAAACAGAAGTGAGAATACATGTTATATTTTGGTACATTTGAAAAGGAAGCACCTATGATTACAAGACTGATACTGTTAACTATAATGGGCATCAATTATTTGTATCACGTTTAGCTCATTAACCAATTGTTCTAATAAATGTTGTTGTGCGTCTTCTTCATGTACAATCCAAAGTTACTTTTTAATATATTCACAACCTTTGTATCTGACATTGCACATCCTTCATAAAAGCATTGGGAAATGAATTTTAAAAGAAAATAACTACGTTGCCCGTTTCCTGCAAAAACCTTGAATCTCCTGATTACTTGTGTTGTATTGAACCGTAGGAAAGACAAGTGACACATTTGAAAAAGTTGTATTGGTATTTTTGAAATAGTTTCAGTGCAGTTTTGAAAAATCCAAGGTTCATGAAACATTTTTTAAATGTGGAAACCATGACTGCCATTAAAATTGATACAAGGTTTCTGTAAGTTACACACCAACGTTGTCAACTTATTTTCATGTATTAGATATAACCATCCAATCGTAGCATATCTTGTACTCAGAAAGTCATTGGCGTTGAGCAACTGTAGCACAATGTTAGCAGACCCCATTTACCTGTAGCTTCACAATGTCAGTAAAGCTACTATAGCTTTAGCATTTTGTAAGTGATTGCAAAACTGACTTTCTTTTTAACTAAAAGGAAAACAAATATTTGACTGATGTAGTATACCAACCGAAAAAAGAAAAGAAGATACATTTAATTACAAAAACTACTGCAGAGGTTGTCTGAAGCGTTTTTGGTGCTTCATGAAACCCCCTGCTAAATCAATTGTGATTCCAGCCGGCTCTATTGGCTGACCCTCATGAAACCACACCAGGTGGTATCATCAATACATGGGAGAGCACCTGAGTGTACCTGTATTATAATCTAAAGTTTATAGTGTGCTCTAGCTGTTAAAGTGAAGTGTCATTATACTGTCTTCATTAAAATGATTTTGTAATAACTCTGTGTCATCTCCAGACTTTATGAAAGCCCTGTCCGTTTTTAACCTTTAGAGTTATAATTAAATAACTTAACCAAATTGAACCCTATTTGCTTTTAAAACCTGCAAACTGTCAGTGGTCATTTTGGCTAGGTCGCAATTTATTTGTTATTTTTTGCTGCACATTTAGAGAAGTTATCTTGGACCTGATATTCAGTATTACCAAAAACTACAGATTGAGGCTGCAGCCACACGGAGACGAAACGGGTCGTATCCACTACAGTTCTCTATCTTATAGACCAGGGGTGGGGAACCTTTTTCCTCTCAAGGACCTTTTCAATTTTTTCAACATCCTCCGAGGGCCGTACAAATGACTGGCCTCTGCTTAAAAATACTAAAATCAGAGCCCATTCATTTGGCCTTTCTTTCAGGCGGTGCAAAGAAAAAGCAACCTCTTAATCCAGATATCTTACCATGACTGGATGCATGCACGTGCACGGTTGTGGCATGACCACCAAAACAGAAAGATATGGACACAAGATGTGTGCAAATGTATTTAGTTTCCTTTCCATATGAACATGATTTAAGTGGGGGGGGGGGACCTAACCTCCTCTAGGGGGGTACGGGGGGCATGCTCCCCCAGGAAGATTTTTTTTTAAATGTTGAAGTTAAAAGCATCAATCTGGTGCACTTTGAGAGCAACATTAAAGGTGGGGTAGGTAATTTTGGAGAAACCAGCTCGCATGCGCTAGAATTTGAAAATACACAGCCGGAACAAATCTGCCACTTCCTTACAGAGCCCCTCCTCCAACACACACGAACACGCACATGACCAATGAGGGCACGAGATAAGTTTGTGCACAGATGGAAAGCTGACAGGCAGGTAGGCCATCCAGTTATTTTAGCCGGGCCGGCTAAAATGATTGTAAAGTGGTACCCAAGTGGACATGGAGAACTACATGAACTACATGTTGCTAAATCCACCACAGAGAATAAACAGAAGGGCAACCAGGCAACCATGGCAACCATGCTCGGGGGGTCTTCTTCGCTGCTTTTGGTGTATTTTGTGGCGGAAGAAAAGCGCCACTTACAGGTCCGGCATATGTACTACAATGTCTCCAGCGGGTCGAGCTGTCTCGTGTGGATGGAAGACTTTTTTGATATCGAATTTGGTTAGTTTTAGTTATTGTCTCCGTGTGGCTCCAGCCTGAGAAGAAATAGGTCACTCTCAGTTCTATGACACATTTCCTTATGGCGCATTTACGAAAATGTTGTTTATTTGAATTCAAAGAATCTATCTATACATCCTAGTGTTAAAGAATAAACTAGTGCTTTCGAGCTGAAATGAAGTTCAAGGCTCTTGTAAAGAGGAATAAACCAGAACATTCCATACAATAGAACATGTTGTATATGTGTTTTGTAAGCATTACAATATATTAACAGCAGGGACATCCTGATATTCACTCACACAAAGTCAAAGCCGTGGGAGCTACACGCACATTGATTTCATCATTGTAGCCTTACGACAGATGTACCCACTGAGAGGCTTTTCTCTAAGTCGCTGGCACTAATGTGAAACGTTCAATAAGTATCTGTCAAGGCCTGAACACATAGGAGCTGAATCGATTCAGCCGAGTGCTAATGCCTCGTGGAGGTAGTCAGACTTTAGGGGGGTTTATCTTTTGTGGATACGTGACTGATTCAATAAAAGTACAAGAGCAGTAAAAAAGCACAATAAGTGAAGAGAACTATGTTTGGTACTGTGTTTTGTAGAACAGCTTCACATCACTTCACATTCACAAAGTCATTGAATTTAAAGTGGCCCATTTATGCTTTATGGGAATTTTGTTATATAGGTTTTTGTGCATGTAAATGGTCTGCAAAGGATAAAATCCCAAAGTTCTATTCAGAGGGAGTCTCTCTGCCACACAGTCCCCCCCGCCCGAAACGCCTCCATTGGACTCCTTTGTTTTACTTCCGTAACACATCACTATGTAAAAACTTTCGCTTATATTGGTTAGCGCTCCAACACATTGTACGTGATTTGATAAGGGGCGGGACATTTCGGACACATCTCTATGAGGTTGGCTGGTCTCTGGTTTCAGACAGAGGGTGAAAAGACATGCTGTAACACAGACAGTTTGAAGAAATAACAAAAAATGTTACCTGAAAAACTAAAGATCCTGGACCCTATCGGGCAGGCACCTCAGTTGTTAAAAACAATACTGCATTTGACTGAGGGGATTACTTTCCTTTTTACTTTACTTTAGTTATGGTTGAAGACTTCACTCCTTGTTGGTCCTGTTATTGTAGAGAACTCCTGTTTACAGCCTTGCTTTCTATCAGAACTTCACTTTTAACAAGCCTCTGGGAACACTGTCATTTTCTTGAAAACGCCAGGAGACATTCTATCTAATTAGCAAATGATGTTTTCTACCACCAGGATGGTTCCCTCTGGAAATTAAATCGGCAGAATAACCTAGTTCAGTCAGATAGAGGGGCTGTAGTTTTGCTGTGGTAAAAAAGGTGGTCCTACTGTAGTTACATAGAACAAAACTGTTTGATTTTTCAAACATGAAATAATAAAAGGTTGTTCTCTCCACATGAACAAATAGACAATCCAAGTGTGGGACACAAACGTACTGGAGTAAAACATTAAGTGTGTGTTACGTTCCCTATTGGGCTAGGGGGACCAAAGGGACACGACACGACCAGATTGGAATTGGTATATGTTACCGGTGGTTTATTTGTAGCCAAAACAATGAACACAATAATGTACACGAACAGCCTGGACCAACAACGGACCAAACTGTTACGATTTAACAAAAGAGGACTCCAAAAGAGAGTTGCACAGTATGCTACAAAAGGAAAGAAAAGTACCTCACTTCGAAAGTGGAACAAAACACTAAACAAAATGAGGCTGTGTGGGAACACAGCTGTTGCTGGTCAACAGGTGCTAATCACCTGCGTCTAAGCAATACTTCCATAAATGCTGATCTACAGGCGCTAAGCTAACCTGGGTCTAAGCGGTTTCACAATGTCAATAATCCTAAATGCTGTTCTACAGGAGCTAAGCAGCCTGGATATAAGCAATACACACACACAAACCCTATACTAAACACAGAACACTACGACACACTGCTAATCAGTGTACTCGCACAGAAACCCTACTTAACACACTGCTAGGCAGTGTAAGGAATCACAGAAGATGGCAGTATCACAATGAGAGGCTTGAGGCGTCTGTCCCACAATACAGAGCCTCCAGAATGATGTCCGTGTCCGGCCTTTATACTCCTTCCCCGGATGACGTGGCAGAAGCGGGCGGGGATTAGATGACGTCAGTCCAATCGCCGCGGATGTTGCGAGGTCGGGACGGCCAATGACAGCAGAGGAACTGCACAGCTCATTTACATATGCACACACAAACAGAGTTAATGGCATAACGAAAGTAGCGGCTGTAACAGTGTGCTACAGGTTATATTTTAAAGACTGTTCTGGGAGTGGACAACTTCCCAGCAGCTCAGGTTCATTGTCACTATACTTTTATCATTTACTTTAGAGAAAGGGTTCTACAATGTGTTGGGACAGATTTTCTGCTTGTCAAAAAGCAATTATTCACACTGACAACAA